GATGAGTGAATAATACTTTCAAAGAGTAATTAATCATCTTTGAAGATGTGAAATAAAAGAAAAAGTTCACTTTTGAACGAGAAGGCGGTACATTATCAAATGTTCTGTAATAGAGATATAGAGAAAAGAATAAATAAAAGAATAGATAAATGAAGGAATTGAGAAATGGGGAATAAGGGAACAGAGGAATAGTGGTGGAATGGGAAAGGAATATAGGAATAGTGGAATAGCGGAACGGTGGAATAAAGGAATGAAGGAACGACGACCGACCGACCGGAATATATTTTGAAGCGCTCCCTAACTAATTAGGACGCCACAGCTGAGTGGCTACATTGTTCGACAGGTATCCACTAGGAATTGCGTTCAAGTCTCGCATTATCGTGAACATGTCACTAATGATGGTTTGTCACGGATCATTCGTCTGATAGTATATGGACTATGATGCAGAGCTAAGTCCGAACTACAAATTTTTTGCTAGATTTGTTTTTTCTGAACGAATCTACGAAGTAGGAGAAGTCGAAAATCAAATACCTTTTAAAACGTTCTTGCAACTTCACCTTCGCACAATATCATTTTCTATTTTCTTTTGATTCTTTTAATATCAAAAGAAGAATGAAAACGCACGTTTAATGATGATTTCTGTAGCATAAAGAATGCTTTTTTTAATGATGCATTTGAATTTAAATTTAGTAATGGTCTCTTTAGAAAAATACAGCTCTTTCTTATTATCTGATCGTTTTGTGATAATAAAAGAGGTGTTTTGAATTCATTTTTTTCCCGCTAAGTTTCTAGGATCTGATGTGTTTTAAACAAATAACACATGTAGATTTCAGTTCATATATAGTTTCTGAAGATTTTGATTGATCGTCTTCCAAATTGATAGTTCTGTGGTTTCTCCTGCTTCATAGATTCGTTCAGAAAAAACAAGTCTAACAAAAAAATTGATTGGTTTAGAAGTTGGCAATATTGTCTAACATAAGTTGACTACTGAATCTGTCACTCGGTAGCACATCGTACCGCAAGATAGTCCAAAGACAGGGTTATTCTTCCTTCTCTATTTCATTAATTTATCTTTTCATTGAACCGAACTCTAAACAATTTAATCAGACTAAAAAGATGATTTTCTTCTATTGAAAAAAGTTAGTTATATTAGTGTAAGACAAAAATATTATTAAAAAGAAAACTTGTTGCCTATTTGAAAGTGTTATGATATTATTAATAAATCATTTGTATTTATTTCACTTACTGGTTCTTGCAATGGTCTATTACTTATGTATGGTTTTAGAGAATTATTTGCAATAAATTTTTTTTGTTTTGTTTTAATTATTTTTCTTAATCTAATTAAATCTTGTTGAATTCTTGAATGTAATGGATCAAGATCAATTAAATTTTTGTCATTATTGTCTTTCGCTGCTGTTGTTGCAGCAGCAATATAATCATTAATACGATAACCTTTTGATTCAACATTTTGTTTTTGTGTTATAACAGGTAAATTTTTCGTTGTGTCTTGTAGTGTTGCTGACATATCTTGAAAAGATGTTGAAGAATCACATGTCGGAGATAAGAGAGAAGTATTTCGAACAGATGTTGCTACTTCTTGCCATTGTTTTTTCATGAATCGATAACGATGAAGACGTTGAGTAACACGCATATTAGAATATTGTAAAGATGTTGATGATTGTGATGCGAAATTAACAAGAGAATCTCGAGTTGGATTATTAAATACGTCTTTAATATCTTTCATAAAAGATAATGTATGACGAGACGAACTGGGAATAGAAGCCATTCTACTATTTAATAACATGTCTCTTTCTATTTTTTTTATCTCAACAAAATGAATACTTAATGATATAAAAAAAAAATTTATTTTATTCAATCAACGTCTTACATTTGTTTCCCTGCCGTTAATTTAAAATCAAAGTATATAAACAAAAATTTTTCGTCGTTCCTACTCTTATATAGAAATAAATGACGATGCATTTTAATTTTTTCGCATCATCACCTACTAGAGAACAAAAATGAGAAGCAAACACAATGTAACGGTGGAAAAAAGTATGCGTGTGTTTTCTTATTTAAAATCAACTTGAATATAATGCGACACACGATTATCATTGAATCTGTACACAAAAAAAGCAATGAGAGAGAGAAAGACAAAGAAATGAAGACTTATTATACAAGAAAAGAATCATGAGAATAATATTAGACAGAATATCTTTGTATATTTAATTTCAGATGTCATACTATTTTGAATAAAAATAAAAACACCAAATATTTTTTGAAAGAAATCTTCTGATTAACATTCGTTTCAATGTATTTTTTTTTCTCATAGAAATGTTTCCTAGTTTATTGAAAAGAACGACGTATTTCGTTTGCATATATAGTAATGTTATTAATAATTTTCAATTTCTTTTTTCAAGTACTCGACCTGACTACAACAAATAGAAAAATAAAACAAAATTGGCTTGTTATAAAATATTTTGTTACTATATGAATAAATGATATTACACACAGCTGGAACAAAACTTTTTGATTAACCTCATTTTTTAAGATATTCTTAGAATATAAAAATCATTCCATCTGAGCCACAGCTGTCTTAAGTAAATAATTAAATAAAAGAACAAAGAAAAAAACATTAAAGAACCTATTGATCACATTATAAGGAGTAAGTGAGCTAATATCGTCAAAAAGAAATATATATGTTTTGTAGTCTATATCTTGATTTTTACAGAGTAGAAGATTCTAGTTGACATCGATATCAACGTCATTTCATTTGCTGTTTCGTTCCAACATAAATTTTTTTCGATTCATTTGAAAACAATTACTATTGATTGTTTTTTTCATTATAAGATTGAGATAACCTTATGAATTGTTTTGTATATGATCTATCAAGTGTTGTTTTTTTTAAATATTTTTATAACATGTTTTTATTTGGAGTTTTAAGTGTGAATACAATAAAACGATTTTCTTTTTAATTGGTTTTTATTTTATTTTAAATTAATAAAAGAATATATGTTATAATTGCATTCGTGCAGATGATGTGTACAGCATGTGGCTTATATGCATAGTTATTTTATGGATTGAAATTCCGGGTAACTTTAAAAAAGGAAAATAAAATTATCGTCTATAATTAGTATCTTAGCGTGATCTTTTTCTTTTTCGTTAACACGGGTAACTGTATTTATAGTTTGTGCATTTACAATACCTGAGTATGTCGTGTCGAAGCTACAAGTTCGACTTGATTATATAAAAAAAATTTTTTCTATATATTAAAATTTGAAAATAATTTTAGATTTGAAACTGAAGCAGAATTTATTCAAAATATTCATTGTAAATCAAATAAAATTATTATCCAAACATCAAGTACTTTTTTTTAAGTAGATCAATAAAAACTAAAAATTTTCATACTGTGTTTAATCATTATTTAAAACTTGTTAGCGAAGTTCGTGCAGGATTCAAATGTGAAAAGCGATTTATCTGCTGTTACTAATCATAGGAGATTATTTTTCTTTATCTATTTTGGAATACATTTCGTCACCATCCTTTTACTTACAAGAAAATATTCCCAAATGTCGAAGCACTTGTTAGACCGGACCTTGTACATCTTGTAGACCTTAATGAATTATATCTACCATATAAAGAGTTCGTGCTCATAGCTTGTTTCTAACGAGATCTTTCGTTTTTACTGTTACAGTTATAAGAGTTGTCTTATCCAAAAAAACAAAATACTATCTCAATCAAAATTAATTGAAAAGAACTAAGATTTTCCTTATATATAGTTGTACTCATGCAGTAGATAATGTAACAATGTGAGCACAAAAGAGCTTAGAATAGAAGAGCTATCGGTTTTTAAAAACAAGTTAACGTTATTCTAGTTGTTTTGGGGAAGGATACCAGCTTTGTCGTCATCTGTATCGTCGAAGTTCGGATCTAATTCAGAATCGTTAGATTCAAAGTATTCATAGATATCATGTTCCGTTATTTCATCTGAAATGTGATCAAGTAAAGTATTACTTTCTACAAATGATCAATCATAGTTGATAATTGAATTTAATACTTCAGTCAAATGGTTGGCAACTTGTTGTTCATGTATTGTTGCAGTTGAAAGATTAGAATTTTCAGAAACAACCAATTGAGAAAAATTCTCTAAGAGAAAAGAGGACACTACCGATGCATTAATCATTTTCATTTGACACGAGCAGAATTAATATTACATGAGAAATTAGGCTACGGTGTACTATTTTCCTTTCTCTTAAACACATTGTATGAATTCATTTCATTCATCCCATTCAGTTATGTTCAATTAAAACTTTTCATCATTCGTATACGAAAGAGATTAGCTTATATTTAACTCACAATGTAAACATGGTGACAGATATCAAAGTTAAGGAAAAATAAAAATATTAACCTAACAAACCACAATTATCAAGCATCCAAAAGTCTATTGCGACATAAGTACTGAATATTCGAAAATTTTCAACCGTATATCTCGTAATTTTAACAAGTAGCATAATAATTGACATTAAGAACAACGTTAAAAATTTCTAAAGAAAGATAGCTCTGTTTTTCTAAGCTATTTTGTGTTCATATTGTCAAATTATCTTCCATGTGAGTGCAACTACACATGCGAAAAATTTCAGCTCTTTTCAATTTATATTCACTGAGATAATGATTTATTTTATAACATAACCCTTATGGCTGCATCAGTAAAAACGCTCGATCTTATCAGAAACATGCTACAGGTACAAGCTCTTTTCACAGTAGATATAAGTCATTAAAGTCTACAAGATGCGTAAAGTCTCGGCTCAAAATCACTTCGATACTTGGAAATGTTCCCTGATGATATATGAATGCTTGGCGAAGTATGCAGGAGTAAGACCATTACATCATCATATTGCCAGTTCAGTACACACTATAACTCTGAACCTCTCAAAAAACATTCATAGATGTATGAGTAGCATGAGGAAAATTTTCAAGTGAGCTGGTAAATGTGAAGAGGATTCCCATAATGACGCATTGAACATCATTACAACTGAGATTTTGTAGGCACTCGTTGACAGAATGATATTTCAGAACTTTAAAAGATTTTTCTGATGAAAATATTATTCGAGAGAGTCCTGGAATCATGCTTTCGCATGATGATTTCTGCGAAATCTTCAGTGTTTACTTGACTAAGATAGAAGCAATCTAAGGTCAAGACAGTGTTTGATGTATAACTCTGCCCTATTACATTGAATTAATGGCGAGTTGATGTCTATGATCAGCATTTCTCACAACACAGAGACCCAGACAAAATCGCAAGCCAAAAGATTGAAAAATCGAGAAAGAACGAGTGGCGTTAAGGTAATTTTTCAGCCCACGATATTTTCAAGAAATAACTATATGAGGACTACAAGATCGATATGAGCTACAAATCTAATAGGGTGATTTTCCTTGAAATCACTTCCGGATTTTTGACCCCTGTACCCTTCTACAGGGTTTCGAAAAAACGGGTTTTGATTCTCTTCTCACAGAAACGAGTTTCTAGGAGGTCTAGAAAAGCGCCTTTTTAGATCTACTTTTCAAGCTCTATCCGAATCTGGATGAATGAAGATCATTTCAAATGCTCAGCTGCTTTTGACAGCGAAATACGACCAGAATCCCGATAGAATAAGCATGAGCGCCTTCCTTTCTAGGACTCCTACTGCACTGAACACTTTTGAACGTAAGTGAGACTATATCAATCCGATGCAGTTTTTCATGCTCTATCCAAATATGAAATCGAAAAGATTTTAAAAGACCGGCATCATGTGTAAAATTGAGATATATGAGCAAAAAAGTCCAATTTTTTCAATGGGTCCTTCATTTCTTCGTCCTTTTATAAGCATTAGTCAGCTGTATTTTCTCTTCATTTGTATGAGAAACGTGTGAGGACAGTTTCTTCAGTATATGTCACAAATTTCATTCGAAAAGAATGCTCTATTTTGGAAATACTGCAAAGTGACCAAACGCTCAAAATTTGCAATGAATTCAGACAGCTAGCACCTTTGAATACCTCGTAACTCAAGATCAAAACATCCCAATCGGCTGAAACGTTTCATACATTATAACAGCTATGAGATCTCTTCATGGGCAAGCTTTTAGGTCGTGATTCAATCATTCGATTTTCCTTGAGACAGGTCAACAATAGAGTGAAATAGGCGGAACTCGAGAACAGAGACCTATCAAAAGAAATCCTGTTACGGTTTTCATCATTCCTATATCCTCTACGTGATGAAAGACGTCTGGTCTCAAAAACTATTTCACTCCTATTAAGAATCCCTTGCAAAGTTTTTTTCCAGTTTACTGAGCAAATTGATTAATTTTTTCAGTCAGATTACATCATATAACTTTTTGACACACCCACCCACAATGGAAACCATGTTTCAACACCAAGGCAATTACCTGTACGATTAGTTTTCTGACCAAATGTCATGTAAACATTACCGGCTTTTTGATTATAATCAATCACTATTGTAGCGTGACATACACTGCGTTTTACAGACGAATAGTTAATTTTGTTACTAAGTTTCTGTAGTGTAAACGGATTATCATTTGAGGTAAGATTTCTTCGTGAAATTTTAAATGATTTGTTAGCCATACAGACGAGACTATGAGCATTATGAAAGTGTACCAGAAGAAGTAGCAAGATAACGAACATGTTGCGGATTTTCATGGGTACGTATGTATTAATAATGTTAATTTTGTTCTTTATTTCAATCTTCTGTTTTCTTTCTAATTGAGAGTAAAAGTATCGAATGGTTTTCTCTT